AAAACCCTGGTTTTAGAAGAAGATGAAAAACACTTGAAATCACATGATTCTTGTAAAGAACCTCAAGGATAGTGTAAAACATTCAAGAAACAAACTCAAATCATCCTAGATTTGTACAGATCTAGGAGGTGTAGAAAAGAAATTAGGGTTTCGAAAGAAACCCATATAGAGATGAAGAAACCTGTCTAGAATCCCAAGGATCGTAGCAAATATAGAATGATTTCGCTTGAAATCACACTGGAATAGCCAGGAACAGGCAGGAGATGAACCCTAGATGCAAGTTGGCATGGCCCTGGGCCCTTGAGGACCTTAGAGAACGCAAGAATGGCATGAGAGAAGCCATTTGAGGTGCAAGAGATGATGAGAGGTCACCGGAGATGGGAGATCGGTGTTTGAAGATTAGGGTTAGGTCGAGAGTGTTTTGAGAGCAGAGAGGATCATAGGGCGGCGGGTGCATAGAAATGATAAGGGTTGGGGGTCATTTGGAATTTAAAAAGGTAAGTTTTAACGAGGGTCGTTGATCTTTTAAATCAACGACCATGATCTGATGGGGGTCTTGGGTCGGGTAGGTGTATTTAGGGCCTGGGTCGGGTAATTGGATCAAGAATTGGGTTGGGGTATTGGGTTGAATGAGGCTGAAATTGAAATACAATTTGGCTAAGTTTTAAATAGACAATTCAACCTTATATAATTTATAATAAATAATAAATAACTTCTAAAAAAATAATTTCGTGTACTAAAATGATTTAAAATATCTATTTAATATTTTAAAAATATAGAAGATCATTTTATGCAAAAAAAATGTAATTGTGCATTAATAGGACTACTATTGTAAATATATGCAAATTAGCTTTAAAAATGTAAATGCAATTATAAAAATGCATTAAAAATATTTTAACAATATTTTGGCATAAATACAGAATTTAGATGGCTAAATCACCACAAAAAATAATTTGAAGGATAATTATTGGAGATTTTATGGGTAAAAAGGGAGAAAATAAATCAATTTGAAGACTTTAAAAATATAGAAAAAATTATAAAATACTTATGCATGCTTATATATGCATATATGCTATTTAAAGTATTTTTATGTATTAAAAATATATAGAAAAAAATTGGGTATCAACAAGCGCTTACGCGCCGCAAGCGGGCTTGGATGAGGAGGTTAAGAGGCGCTTTTGGGAGGGTTTGGACGAGATTGTGCGCAGTATTCCACCTACTAAAAGGTTATTTATTGGAGGGGATTTTAATGGCCATATTGGGTCAGCTGCTGGTAGTTATGGCGAGGTGCATGGTGGCTTTGGCCTTGGGGATAGGAACAGAGGAGGTACTTCGCTGTTAGACTTCGCCAAGGCTTTCGAGCTGGTGATTGTGAACTCGACTTTTTCGAAGAGGGAGGAGCATCTAGTTACTTTCCAAAATTCGGCGGTGAAGACTCAGATTGATTACCTTCTCATCAGAAGGTGTGATAGAGGATTGTGCAAGGATTTCAAGGTTATCCCGGGAGAGACACTCGTGACTCAGCATAGGCTCTTAGTGATGGACGTCAGCATTATGATGAAGAAGAAGAAGAGGTATGCTCATGGCCGACCGAGGATTATATGGGGAGCTTTAACCAAGGATAAATCCCAGGAGTTGGATGAGAGGTTATCCGTTGTGGGAGCTTGGAGGAGTAGTGGAGACGCGTGCACTATGTGGTCATCGACGGCGAACTATGTGAGGGAGGCGGCAAGAGAGGTGCTAGGGATGTCGAAGGGTTTTTCTGGCAGGCACCAAGGCGACTGGTGGTGGAATGATGTAGTCCAAGGTAAAGTGGAGCGAAGAAGGTAGCATACGCGAAGTTGGCAAGGAGCACAAGCGAGGAGGAGAGGAGAGCGAATAGAGAGAGGTACAAGGTGGCAAAGAAGGAGGCAAAGTTGGCGGTCACGGAGGCTAAGAATGTAGCGTTTGGCCGCCTATATGAGGAATTGGGGGAGAAAGGCGGGGACATGAAGTTGTTTTGGCTGGCTAAAGCGAGGGAGAGGAAGGCCCGGTATCTGTACCAAGTAAGGTGCATCAAATATAAGGATGGTAAAGTATTGATGGGAGAGTCCCAGATTAAGCAGAGATGGCAGACGTACTTCTATGGTCTTCTAAACGAGGTGGGGGACCGGGATATAGTGCTAGGGGACTTGGTGAATTCAGAGAGTCTTCGAGATTTTAGGTATTGCAGGCGCATTAAGGTGGAGTAGGTCGTGTGGGTTTTGAGTAAGATGAGTAGGGGTAGAGCGACCGAGCCAGATGAAATTCTGATTGAGTTTTGGAAGTGTGTGGGTAGAGCAGGATTGGAGTGGCTGACTGGTTTGTTCAATGTAAATTTTAGGACGAAGAGGATGCCGGAGGAGTGGAGTTCGAGTACAGTGGTGCCGTTGTACAAGAACAAAGGTGATATCCAGTGTTGTAACAATTATAGGGGTATCAAGTTACTTAGCCATACCATGAAAGTCTGGGAGAGGGTGGTAGAGGTGAGGGTGAGGAAGACGACGTCTATATCCGACAATCAGCTTGGGTTCATGCCGGGTCGCTCCACTACGGAACTATCCACCTTATTAGGAGGTTGGTGGAACAGTACAAGTATAAGAAGAAGGATCTGCACATGGTGTTTATTGACTTGGAGAAAGCATATGACAAGGTCCCTAGGGAAGTGCTCTGGAGATGTCTTGAGGCAAAGGGTGTGCCGGTAGCCTACATAAGAGCGATCAAGGACATGTATTATGGAGCTAAGACTAAGGTTAGGACTGTGGGAGGCGACTCAGAGCATTTCCCGGTTGTCATGGGATTATACCAAGGTTCTGCGCTTAGCCCGTTCTTATTTGCCTTGGTGATGGATGCGTTGACACACCATATTCAAGGGGATGTGTCATGGTGTACGTTATTTGCTGATGACATAGTTCTAATTGATGAAACAAGGGTCGGTATTAACGAGAGATTGCAGGTTTGGAGACAGACCCTCGAGTCTAAACATTTCAAATTGAGCAGGTCTAAGACAGAGTACCTGGAGTGCAAGTTTAACGCTGAGTCAAGGGAAGTAGGCAGAGACGTGAGGCTTGGATCACAGGTCATCCCCAAGAGAGATAGCTTCAAGTATCTTGGGTCGATGATCCAGGGTGACGGAGTGATCAACGAGGACGTCACTCACCATATAGGGGCGGGCTGGATGAAATGGAGGCTTGCATCTGGAGTCTTGTGTGACAAGAAAGTGCCACCGATACTCAAAGGTAAGTTTTATAGAGCTGTCGTTAGACCGGCCATGTTGTATGGGGCAGAGTGTTGGCCGGTTAAGAACTCCCATATCCAGAGGATGAAGGTAGCAGAGATGAGGATGTTGAGGTGGATGTGCGGGCACAATAGGATAGATAAGATTAGGAATGAAGCTATTCGGAAGAAGGTAGGCATGGCCCCTGTGGATGACAAGATGCAGGAAGCGAGGCTCGGATGGTTCGGGCACGTGCAAAGGAGAAGCCTTAATTCTCCGGCGAGAAGGTGTGAGCGGTTGGCCGTGGTGGGTACGAGAAGAGGTAGAAGGAGGCTTAAGAAGTATTGAGGAGAGGTGATTAGGTAGGACATGGTACGACTGCAGATTTCTGAGGACATGACCCTTGATAGGAAGGTCTGGAGGTCAAGCATTAGGGTTGTAGGTTAGGGGGTAGTAGAGCTTTCCTTACTTCATACCGGGGGTGAGGCGAGGTTGGATTAGGGTTGATCTTAGATGGCTTGCAGTTTATGTTGAATCCATACTATCCTTGCTGTTTATCTTAGCCCCGAGCCTTAGTTACTGGTTACTGTTATTGCATGCATTTATCTTTTGGTTGTTATTCTGTTACTATTACGGTTTCTACTGGAGTTATTAATGAATTATCTTTTCTTTTCTAAGCCGACGGTCTATCGGAAACAGCCTCTCTGCCCTATCGGGATAGGAGTAAGGTCAGAGGTGGCTTAACCCCCAAGCCACTAAAGCGGCCGCTTTAGGCCTCACAAAATTAGAGGCCCCAAAAGTTACTCTTTTTAGATGTCATTTAAATATTTATTGTATTTATTATTAAATAGTGAAAAGAAATTTCTTCAGCCATCTATTGTTACCTTGTCAACAATTGTTAATAACATAATTTTATATTTTATGTTGTCTTTTTTCGGAGTTTGTTGAGAAAATTCAAATGAAAGTGAAAGGCAATCAAATCTGCAGTTACTTTCTAGTTCTTTTTACTCCAACTTGAGCAGATTTATTATAACTCTTTCTTTGTAAGATATTTTCTTTAAGCTCTATGTAGACACGCTTCAAGCTAATTAGATCGTAAAAAATTATAGTTGATTTGTTTATCATCTTTGTAAAATACAAATTCCCCCACGATTACTTGGGAGGCAATGCTATATAGTGAGTTATGTTGATGGTCATGTGAAAAGAAAAAATTCAACATTAAACTTAATAAATCTTATCAAAGGTTATAAATGTTTCAACAAATATTAAAGGGGTTGGCTACATCGTCAATATTAAACTGCATCTCAAAAAGAAGATAGAATATACTTCAAAAAAAAAATCTAAAATTATGAAACAAGTTTAAGGCCTCTTATTATGACTTGACTTTAGGCCTCCAATACCATTAAGTCGCCTCTGGGTAAGGTCTGCGTACACATTACCCTCTCCAGACCCCATTTTGTGGAATTTTACTGGGTAGTTGTTGTTGTTATTTTTATGATGTAGAAAAAGTATTTTTTTTTCTTTTCAACAAAATGAGTATTTTATTTTCATGACGTAAAAGAAGTATTTTCTTTTATTTTAATAAAATGAGTACATAATCGAATAATTTATTTAACAATTGTTGTTGACAAAAATAATTATCAAACATGAAAAAATCTAAAAATAAAAAAGAAACACATTATCATATATATATATATATATTATTATTATTATTTATTCGTGGGCTATTTTAGGTTTGATGGACCGCTGTTTAAGTTAATTCTTTCTTTCCGGGATCTTTTACGGAAGAGTAATGGACGATTTCCAATTTCAGTTTTCGTGCAAACTTTTTTAATGGAAAAATGCAAAAATTATCAAAACGTCTACACTCGTCAATAGTATATCGTTTTTTTGCTCTCTCTCTCTCTCTCGGTGGAAGTTTTGGTTTTTCCTCTTCCATTTTTTTTTTCTCATTCGCAGCCCATCCGTTCTGTTCTTCAGGTTTGCCTCCATACGTCGTCGCTTGCCTTTAATTCCGCCGGTGACCGGTAAGTACTATTAGGGGTTAGGTTTATAGACGAAGTTGCTGATTCTTGCATAAAGATAATGTCTTTGAGCTTATATTAATGGGTTTGGATTGTTTCCTGACTTTTCTGTGAACTGGGTTTTTGTTTCTTAGTAAAGCATTTGAACTCTGGAAATTTTTAGAATATGGACTACACCTTATGCTATGCAATGACATATCTTGTTTCTGTACTGGGTTTCTGTTAGCAGTTGGCATTTGAAATTGAAAGAGTGTGATACAATAGTTGAAAGTTCTTTGTATATGGCTACAACATATGTCATGCTCCGTTAATTCTTGTTCCTTAGAGTTTACATCTTTTAATTGGTTTTGAGCTTCTTTGACTGTGTTGGTTTGTTTCGTCTTTGAACATTGATTTTCCTTGCATCTGATGGAAGAAACCGGAAGTAAATTATTGTAGCATAGAGCAATAACCAGTTTTGCTTCTTTGGATTTTGAAGTATTAGAAGAAAATAGATTACCAAATAAACATCAACATATAATAAAATTTCTTACTTACCTGAACTTTGTTTCCTATAACTTATCATCTGTTCAATTCCAAGTATGTTGCCCTCCTATATTTCTTAATTGATGCTCTAAAACTATCTTGCTTTCTTACATCCCAAACCAGCACTTTTTATTTGCCATTAGCTCTTTTTGGGGCTTATATGTGGTCATACTTCATATAACAGTCATTTGTTAAGGGGACATCAGTGAAATGATCTCTATTTCTTGTCAATTGGCGCTTCAAACATGTTTAAATACTGGTTACTTCTATATGCTTACATGTTATTCCTCCAAACAATAGCCTCATGTTAGTTAATATGTTCAGGTGAATATATGTGCGGGTTATTCAGCCATTGTCATTGTTTCAAATTTATCATCAAGAAGGATAGGTGTAAAAAGGCGAGGCAGCCAGTATAACATAGTGGCCTCCAGGAGTGCAGGTGACCAGTAAAGTGTATTAGCTAGCTGTCACTGGAGAGTGTTAGCTTGCCAGAGGAAGTACTATGATTGCTGCTTTTCAGCTCCATTAAACTGTACGATATTCTTCTTAGTTGGCTCAGAGCACGGGCCAACGGCAGCTAGTATATATAACTCAGTGTGTTTTTATTTTCAATTGACTATCAACCTGCTGCCTCTCCCAAGACCTGAAAAGCCACAGTCAAACAGCACAAAAACAATAAAGAAGGTGATGGCGATGATCGTCGGGAGAAGCAGAAACTCTGTATGTCTCTTGCACGAAGTCCTCTCTTCCAGCCACTCACTTCCCTGCTCATACATCCAGAGACAGACCTATGTAGATGTGTACATGAAATGGAAGAAAGACTCTTTTTTTGACTCCATTGATACCATTCACAGATCAGTTCAGCTCAAGCCTTTAATTGCTCTCAAGAACTGCATAGTCTCCTCTTCACCTGATGATTATTGCGTCCCCATTTCTGCTATTTCAAAGAAAGGCTTAGAGTTAGGAATACCCATTAAGGTTGCCAGGTTCTTGAGGTTGTACCCATCTGTTTTTGAGGAATTTACTGGCCCTAATTACAATTTGCCTTGGTTTAGGCTGACCCAGAGGGCTGTTGAGCTTGATAGAGAGGAGAGAGAGGTGTATGTAAAATTTAAAGATGATATCGTTTCGAGGCTGAAGAAGTTGATACTGATGAGTGGCAGGGAAAAGATGCTTCCTTTAAAGGTAATTCAGGGTCTGCAATGGTATTTGGGTTTACCCGA